TATATGGTCTTGTTTTCACTTCTATGCTTTGTATGAATAAATCTGAATCTGAGTATCTAGTCTGCGTGGGTCCATAACCTGTTCAAACAAATTTTAAGCAATATCCTCAACAACAAGGTACTTTTATGACTGATTAATATATTTAGTGTGAATATGATCATACAGCTGGGGCGGATGCAAGATTTGGCGGTATGGGGTGCGTGCAGACTCTTTTTAGAAAGGTTGGGGAACAATTTCTAGAATAGTACCTGTAGATGGTCGGAAATGATACTTTTTATAGTAAAATTCATCATCAGCAAATCACCATTATATAGGCGTAGTGAAAATGAAGCGCCAACATATTCTCATGATCTTTTATCAGATATATTCGGCAACCACAGAGATAATTAAATAATATGTGCGATGTACCATAAAAATAAAACTTAAAAACATTGTCTTTGATGTATATACTTTACCTACTGCAAAGCCGTGAGTCCACAACCCCAGTATGGTTGGGGCTGAGGTGAGAAAATTTGAGGAAATAGTACCTTTAGATGGCCGGAAATGACACTTTTATCTAGTAGTAAAATACATCATAATCACATCCCCACTTAGTCAAAATGAAGCGCCAACAAATTATTATAATCTGTTATCAGCTATTTTCCGCAACCACAGAGATCTTATTAATATCAGTGATGTACCACAGATATTAAAACTAACAAACACTGTCTTTGATGTATTTAATTTACTTCATTTACATGAAAGCCTTAAGGTCACATCCACCTCAGCCGTTCCATGGCTGGTTTTGAGGTCAGAACATTTTAGGAAATAGTACATCTTGATGGCCGGAAATGACAATTTTATATATTAAAATTCATCATCATTACATCACCATTATAGTCTAAATGAAGTACCAGCAAATTTGTCATGATCTTTTATCAGAGATTTTTGGCAACCACAGAGATCTAATTAATATGAGTGATGCACCACAGAACATAAAACTAAAGAAACACTGTGGCTTTGACGCCACGTCCACCTCAGCCCCACCATGGTTGGGGCTGAGGCAAGAAAATTTGAGGAAATAGTACCTCTATATGGCCGGAAATGACACTTTTAAATACTAAAATTTATCATCATCACATCAACATTGTCAAAATGAAGTGCCAACTATAATTCTCATGATCTTTTATCAGCTATTTTCGGCAACATAGAGATCTAATTAATAATGTGATGTACTGTATTGTACCATAGGCAATACAACTTCAACAAATTGCCTTTGATATATTTTCTTTACCTACTTCAAACAAAACGTGTGTCCATAACCATCTCAGCCCACCATAGTTGGGGCTGAGGGGGTAAAATTTTGGGAAATAGTACCTCTATGATTGCTGGATATGACACTATTTTAATTATAGTAAAATTCATCATGATCGATCTAATTATCTGTGATGTACCATAGAAAATAAAGCTTAATTGTTTTGCTGTATTTACCGATTTCATGTGCAGAAAAAGCAATCTTATATTTGCACGCTTTTTCTCATACTTCTCAAAGTATAATAAAGGCACGCCCATTCGAGTCGTATATTATAGATAAATAATTCAGATGTTTGTGGGCAGAGATACCGGTATGTTTCTTCATGTCAGCCCCAACATGGTTGTGGCTGAGGTAAGAACAATTTGAGAATATGGACCTCTGGGCGCCCCGAAATTGCACTCTCATACATCAAAAATCTTACCAATAATTCATGTCAACAATATACTGTAATACAATTATTTTTCTTAATATAATTTAGGGGATTTAGGGGGGATGCGATCGCACCGTCTGCACTCTGCCCCCTGCATCTGCCCCAGTACAACACCCTGTTCACACCTACAATAGGCTTAAAATAACATCTTCAACCAAGAATTGTATTGAATAATATATACCAAATGATTATTTAAATTACTGTTTCATATCTGATCATACTTAAGATTAATACCCTTCAAACAACGGTAATAAATATATTCCTTCACGAACCATTTGAACTTATCCTTAGTTTGTGTAGGGTGAAGTGGATGAGAGTGTAATACCCCCATTAATGAGACGAAATCCATCCCTGGCTACCCCTCCCCCCTCCCAGTATGATTCTGGTTTCCATTTATACAGCTTAGTAGGCTGAAGCAATATAGATAACATGCATTTCTCAAAGATACAAGCGAATTGCGCAGTGAGAAATTGAAACCCTGACGTCGAGGCTTGAAGCCAAACTGTTGCCACTGAGCCAAACGGCTTAAACAAGTAAATAATTAATTACATTAAACCACAGCAATACTATTTCTAGGAAAGTCGATTGACAGCCTTACTCTTGCTAAACTAGGCATTGGCATGGTTTCTGTGAAGGGATTTAATTATCCAGATCCAGGTCCCACTCAAGAAATACGTATATGTCTGTGATTTGATGAATATATCATTAGGGGAAATACAACAGAAATAATCATCACGCAGAACTAGTAGGCCCTGTCTCTTATACACATCTAGATGTGTATAAGAGACAGGAATATGATCATACAGCTGGGGCGGAT